AAAAATTGCAATAATATCGTATCGTGCGTTAAGTATTGTGATAATATCGTATCGTGAGTTGTATGGTGATTCCCACCTCTACTAGCTAGCTCCAAATATGTTAACTTTTCGCTCAGAAAAAAACGAAGATGGCTACATGCAAAAAGCTAAACTCAAAACTGTAGTCAGCGATAGGGCAGCGCAATATGGCAAAATATATTTGTCACGATATATATTTGAAAACTTGCGATAACAATATAACTGACAATATAATTGACGCGAGACGGAGTACTTTACAACTCCACAACTTTATTAGTGCAAAAAAACCCTAAAACATTGATTTATTTTCACTTAAACAAGCAGCTGTTTATATTAGTTTAGTTCATTAGTTAGTTCCCCCCAACGTTTGCTACTTGTGTCATAAGGCATGCAGCTATTTAAAGCTACGCCGATTATTTGTTGAGTCAGCTTCTTTGGTTTCACCACCACGCTAGTTGAAGCGGACGCCTCTTCACGTGCTTTAACAGCTTTGTTGTACTCCAACAAGCGCTTCTGTTTCAAATGATGAAACGTGTTCTGCCATGTGTGTATGAAAACAAAGCCACTGCGCATGCGCATTTTACCCATATTCTATTGCGATATTTCATTTTCTTATCTTTGCCTAACATTGTACCGGTACTACCGTGAACGGTATAATATGGCCTAGCCCTAGTCAGCGACTCGATAGATAACATTTAGGTGGCTACACCGGTCGTTCATATGAAAGTCCATGGTCAAGACTTTTTACTGTAGACCTGAAGCCTGATTTTGCTTCCTGGATAAAAGAATGATTTCCAGTTTCTTGCTCAGACTGAAGAATAGGTGGATCATTAAATTCCCAAAGCCGAGGTATCTGGATCATTAGCAGGACTCTAAAACCTGTACTACATGTGCATAGTGGATGGCTTTCTTCTCAGTCCATTGAAGACTAATCAAGAGGAAAGGATGTAATGAATCATGTCTGTTTAGTTTTTAATGGCTGCTTTTAATGTTAGTTTCCACTGCAGTCACAATCAATATCTGTGGTCTTCGTTCTCCGAGACATCGCACCGCAGGCATAAACATATTATTACACAACATGTTATTAATGCACTTTGCCAGCATACTCACATCCACCCACACACATACACGCTTGTTGTCCTCCACACATGCAGAAATGTGCTGCACACAAAGCAAACACAAGAAGACATTTGAATTTTTGTCCTTTTGTGTTTTTGTTAAGCCCAAAATGAACCATGTGAGAACTCTTCTTCCAAGACACGAACGAAAACACAAGTGACAATGTAAACTCACCGTAGCATACTTCAAGATGATATCAGCTCGTTCTTCTGCGATTAGACTCTCAATGTCTTTCTTCATGTCAATATCTATGGAAAAAAGGAAGAGCGAGATTTGCATAAACTAGAGAAAACAACAACTGACGATGAAAAAAATAACACGGCTAGATGTGACTAACAGCACGATGAGCTGGTATACCTGAAGCATGCTTTGGTTTTAAAGAGAATAAACACATCAGTAGATGGTTGCCTTGGATTTAGTAGAACAATATCATAGTGGGGCTTTAAAATATCAGCTGCAAAACTGCACCAGAAACGTGCTAAAGCAGCGGTCCCCAACCTTTTTTGCACCACGGAGTCGCGGATGAATACAATAAAATAAAACCAGTACCAGAAAAAAGAAGATTTATTCATAACACACAAGAAAAGACCCAGGGAAACAGAGTTAACGATAAAAATGCTAAAATAATCATAAAAACAGATAAAACCCCTGAATGTTAGGATGCCTGGGTCGTTGACCCAGGGTGTTTGAGTTTATGTTATTATTTATACTTTCTAGTTTTTGGTTTCTTTGAGTTCCGTCTTATGGCTTATGTCTCCCCTATCACCTGCATCCCCTTGTCTAGTTCGTGTCTATGTGTATCTTAAGTTCCTATATCCCCGTGTTCAGTCAGTGTTTGTGTCTGCCCTGTTCCCACGTCTCTGTTCCCTTTGTAGTGCCTGCATATGAGTCTGTGTCTTTGTTCAGTCTGTGTTATGTGTTTCCTGTTTTACTTTGAAAGTCCATGTCTGATGTTAATGTGTCTGGTTTTGCTTCCCCTTGTCTCGTTAGGCCTGATTTGCCCCAGCTGTGTTTCCCTCCTGTTACCCATTCCCTGATTGCTCCCTCTGTGTATTTAAGCCCTGTGTTTCTCTGTGTCCGTGTCGCGATCTACCGTTTATTTTGCTGTGTGTTTTGCCTGTCCACCGGTGTAAGTTTATTTTGAGTTTTTCTAGTTCTGTCATGTTCAGCATTAAAGCCTTTTTGGGTTCACGTCTGTCTCCGGAGTCTGCACCTTGGGTCCTATTCCTGTCTGCACACAGCCACACCTAACAGAAGATCGTGACCAGAACATGGACCCAGCAGACTCCGTGTGGTATCAGCGACCCGCAGTTTCTGCCTTCCTCAAGGAGATCGTGAGGGAGGAAGCTGAGCATGCCCAGGAGCTCCAGTCACCTTTCTATGGGTCACGTTTGGCTTTGGGAGGGCCCCGCAGCCTCCAAACTGCCATGGCTACGGCCGAGCCAGCGCCTATGCCTCGGGCGATCAGGTTGAGCACGTGCTCATTCTCTCCGGTCGCTACACCTCCGCCTTCACCCCTGGATTACCAGTCCGACAAGAGGGTTAAGCGGCGGAGGAAGAAAGATTATGTGACGCCGGACGGTAGACTCACTCCGCTGCAGTCCTTCGCGCTGTTTTTGGGTCTGCCAAGTTCTGAGCTTCACAGACTCTCTGGTTCCTCATCGCAGCCCGGTCCGTTGGAGGATTTGCAGCCCAGTTTGCCACCCCCCGCTTCCCGGAGGAGGCGACGCTCACACCGTCGCCACTCTTTTTCTGCGGAGCAACTCCCGGTGGTGGGTGGTGGTTGCTTTTGTTCCTCTGAGCTGGAAAGAAACTATCATATGAACACTGCTAAGACTGAGACTATTGGGACTGTTAGACGTGGTGGTGGTAGGAAGCTAAAAAACATTTTGGGGGAGTCTGTGTTTGCTGAGCCTGCTCCTTCGCACCATTGTTTTCCTGCTCCCAGGGCAGCTCGGGCCCAGCATTCCCCTGCACCTGTTTCGGTGCTTCGGGTGGGGGAGGCTGGGGTCCGGCTGGTCCCTGCTCGGGTGTCTGGGCTGGCTGAGCCTCTGCCTGTCGCTGCACCCGTGCCGGCTCCTCGGGTGGGGACTGCAGCTGCCCAGCCATTGACTGTGCCTGTCCCGGCTCCCAGGGTGGGGATGACCGGGAACCAGTTAGCTCCTGCGCCCGTGCCTTCTCCTCGGGTGGGAGTGGCTGGTGTCCGGCAGGTGCTTGCGCCTGTTTCTGACCTTGCTGGAGGCTCGGGTGAGCCCGTCCGGCAGTTTTCTGTAGGATCTGTAGGCTCAGACAACCTAGTCCAACCATCTGCTAATCCACCACCTCACCCGCCATTACTGTCATCGTTACAACAGTCAATACAACTTAAACTTCTCTCCATAGCTCAGACATTAGCTCACCTATCGGCTCAGTCACCTGCTCAGTTACCGCCTCAGTTGTTTGCTCAGTCACCTGTCTCCGCTGGAGGGTCCGAGGGGCCCGTTCAGCCACCTGTCTCCGCTGGAGGGTCCGAGGGGCCCGTTCAGCCACCTGTCTCCGCTGGAGGGTCCGAGGCCGTTCAGCCACCTGTCTCCGCTGGAGGGTCCGAGGGGCCCGTTCAGCCACCTGTCTCCGCTGGAGGGTCCGAGGAACCGCTTCAGCCACCTGTCTCCGCTGGAGGGTCCGAGGAACCGCTTCAGCCACCTGTCTCCGCTGGAGGGTCCGAGGAACCGCTTCAGCCGTTCCGCTGGAGGGCCCGAGGAGCCCGTTCAGCCACCTGTCTCCGCTGGAGGGCCCGAGGAGCCCGTTCGGCCACCTGTCTCCGCTGGAGGGCCCGAGGAGCCCGTTCGGCCACCTGTCTCCGCTGGAGGGCCCGAGGAGCCCGTTCGGCCACCTGTCTCCGCTGGAGGGTCCGAGGGGCCCGTTCAGCCACCTGTCTCCGCTGGAGGGTCCGAGGCCGGTTCAGCCACCTGTCTCCGCTGGAGGGTCCGAGGAACCGCTTCAGCCACCCGTCTCCGCTGGAGGGTCCGAGGACCGCTTCAGCCACCTGTCTCCGCTGGAGGGTCCGAGTCGCTTCAGCCAACTGTCTCCGCTGGAGGGTCCGAGGAGTCGCTTCAGCCGTCTCTTCCTGCTGGAGGGCCCGAGGAGCCGTTCAGTCTCACGCCACCGTCAGCTGGAGGGCCCGAGGAGCCTGTGCTCCGATCCAGCCGCCATTCAGGACCCCTGTCATATCCAGGCCGGAGGTAGATTCCGCGCTATAGTAGGATGATGAATCCGCTTCAGCTCCTGTCTCCGCTGGAGGGTCGGTTCTTTGAGCTCCGCCTGGTCCGGCCTCCGAGTCTGCAGCTCCGCCTGGTCCGGCCTCCGAGTCTGCTGCTCCGCCTGGTCCGGCCTCCGAGTCTGCTGCTCCGCCTGGTCTGCAGCTCCGCCTGGTCCGGCCTCCGAGTCTGCAGCTCCGCCTGGTCCGGCCTCCGAGTCTGCAGCTCCGCCTGGTCCGGCCTCTGCCTCTGCAGCTCCGCCTGGTCCGGCCTCTGCAGCTCCGCCTGGTCCGGCCTCGCTCTGCAGCTCCGCCTGGTCCGGCCTCCGAGTGTTCAGCTTCGTCTGCTCCTGAGGTCTCCATGCTGTCTGTTCCTGCACATTTTGTCCGGCCTGCACGTCCTGCACGTCCTGTCCGGCCGATGACTGGACGTCATTGCCGTCATGGACGGCCCCCTGAACTACGTCGCCGTCGGTGCCTCCCGCCCGGCCGGCCTCCTGATCTGCTCGGTCGCCGTCGGTGCCTCCCGCCCGGCCGGCCTCCTGATCTGCTTCCGTCGCCACCGGGGCCTTCTGCCTGGCCGGCCTCCTGAACTGTTTTCTGGGCTCTTGGACTGTCAGCCTCCGGTCCGGTCCCCCTGAACTTTTTTGAGAATATTGCCTGGGCCTCTGCGCCTTTCGTGAGCTCTTTTGTTTGTTTGCTTTTGGACTTTGCCTGGGCCTTGGTGCTGTTGTTTTGGACTTTGTTTCTGTGTTTTGTTCTGTTGCTTTCCGGGCTCCAGTGTTTGCACTTTTTTTGTTTTGTTGTTTCTGGCTCCTTGTTTTGTTCCCTGATTGCTCCCTCTGTGTATTTAAGCCCTGTGTTTCTCTGTGTCCGTGTTGCGATCTACCGTTTATTTTGCTGTGTGTTTTGCCTGTCCACCGGTGTAAGTTTATTTTGAGTTTTTCTAGTTCTGTCATGTTCAGCATTAAAGCCTTTTTGGGTTCACGTCTGTCTCCGGAGTCTGCACCTTGGGTCCTATTCCTGTCTGCACACAGCCACACCTAACACTGAAAACCATACATTTCTCAAGTCTCGTGGCCTGGTACCGGTCTGTGAGTTGTTTGGTACCGGTCCCTGGCCTGGGGGTTGGGGAACGCTGGTCTATAGGACTGAACAAGCTCGGTAAAGTAGAAAACTCTAGTTTTTCCAACAAGAGCGTTTTTATCACTTCGGATCTGAACTCAGGAAATATCCTGTACCAAAGCAAGGCCAATAAAATCTGAGACGTGGTAATTGATTTAGTGATCTGAAAGCAGGTTATGGTGAGTGTACTGTGCATTTGTCTGTCAGCTGGATTGAAGAGCTGTGAGAAGGTGTAAAAGTATAAGTGCTCATATTCAGGCGCACCAAGGCCCTGTGCCAAACTGTGACATGACAAGGCCTGTTTAAAGAGCAATACATACTCTTCTAACTTATACAGCCTCTAGTACTAATAAGTAATAGTAATAAGAAAACAATACAGTACATTTCATAATTTGACTTAAATCCAATAAACGGAAGCCACCGAGAAAATGTTCCCTCTCTGTTTCATGAAACTGAGCATAACAAAGTCACGCTTATCTGCAGGTCAGTGATTTATGGCCCCCCGTCGAATGATTTAGGAAGTAATAAAAGTTAATGGCAGTTATCATTTTGATGACTATCATAAAATTATGATATTTTATAACTCAGTAATAATCAATAATCCGATGCCCAAAAATATGTGATCATGAAAATATGGCGATGGATGAGGATGATGAAGAGGTGGTTTGAGACAGAAACGAAAACTGTGGAATATTCATATTTTTGTGCTGTTGTCATTTTAAGTCAAAAAGTTTACTTTTTAGACAAAAAAATGTTCCCTTGGCAGAAACCTGTGTGTGTGTGTGTGTGCATCTGTGAAACTGTGTTAAACCACAGTAAAAAGGTTGTTTTTGGTAAAGCCAGTGCTTTTGTAAGGATGGGGAGAGTTGGAGGCTGCGTG